TCAACAGGCTCCCCCAAATTGATGGATGTCTCTCATCATCAATTTGTCAGAGAGACATGAATGTCGTCTCGTAGTGAAGGCCTTCGTTAGGAGATCCGCAATCTGATCCTCGGACTATGGTATGGCTTTTGGTTTAAGATCGTGCTTGCTGTGGTTGTGTGTTAGTTTGAAGTAGTTTTAGAATATGGAAATTTATGGTAAGGTGGGTTGGAATGTAACATATTGTGGTGTTTATGGTAATTGGTGAATGTGTATGTTTTCGGAACTGTAAGTTTGGTGGGGAGATATTTATAAGGGGTTTTAATAAAGATTTGTTCATTTGGTTTTGGAAACTTTGGATTTACGATGGTTGATTCTATAAAAGTGAATGGCAAAACTGCTTTTTATTGCTTATGAATTTGGATGGTAGCTCGGTGTGATATGTATGGTGGAACAAGATAAATAATAAACCAAGCGATTAAGGGAAAAAGAAAAAAAAATAGGTAGAAATATAATTATAGCTTTGTAATATGGATTATAATGAACTTGTGAAGAAAGCAAAGATCTGATTTGTTGATTATTGCTATTAGGGTGTGATTTGCCTTGTTGTAATTGCTTGGAAATCGATTGAGTTTTGACCCTTCTTTTAAGAGTTGTATATAAAGATGCGTATGATGAATGATAAAGATGATGATGTTGCTTAATAAGACTGGTAATGGTTGGTTTTGGTTGGCTACCAACTTTCTCCTTGATATTTGGTGAAGGGAATGGCTGCTGCCGCCTCTCCTAGCTTTTGGGGTTTGTTGCCAACGCTTTCGTTGTCTTCTTTTTCGTTCTTTAGTTCTTATCTGTTTTGTTGTTGTTGCTGTGTTTCCGCGGCTATTATGTGTTTGGTTAATTGGGTTGTTGTTTTGTGCGGGACAGGCAAGTGAGAATAAGAAGAAGAGATTTTGTTATTTGCAGAGTTTTTGCTCTTTGTTTTTTCTCAATTTCTGTCTGTTTGTATGTTTAAACAGGAAGAAGGTGTCAAGGAAGAAGAAAAAGAAGAAAAGGGTCCAAGAGCAGGAAGGATGCTCTGAGGAAGAAGAAAGTCTCTGTTTTGCAGAGTTTTGTTGTTTGTGTAAGAACCAAAGAACTAGAAGAAGAAGTAAGTTTTAGTGAGAATTGAGAAGAGATTTTGGGAATGTTTTTCGTTGTTGTCCTCTTTTCTTTCAGAGCTAAAGAGCTCTTTTATAGCCAAAAAAACAGATGTTTTGGCCAATTTAAGTGGTTTTGAGAGGTTATAGGGGTCGCTCTCTATGTTTGTGTAACTTAAGGATTGGGTTGGACCTGTTCGGGTATGTGAACTGGGCTAAACCGGTTTTGGTTGGGCTGATCTGGGCCTGAAAGTTGACTTGGGTATGGTATCTGACTTGGGCTTTGACTTACTTGACTGAGTTGACTTTGGGTTGGACTTGGACTCTGATTTGGGCTTTACTTGTTTGTAATGTAATCTGTTTGTAATTGTAATTTATCTTAATAAGAAGTCATTCTTTTATTTTTAATATTTCTCCCAAAGTCGGTTCGGGTTGGGTTCAATATGATTGCGGGTTAGTCGGGTTGTAGGTTCATCGGTTCGGGTCAATCAGGTTGCGAGCAAATTGGGTTGCGGGATCATCGTGTTTCAGGTCGGATGGGTTGCGGGCGGATCGGGTTGCGGGTTGTTCGGGACAGCGTATCGAATTACTTACTCTTTACTCGTTACCAACTTAGACATTTTATTACACTAATTTAAAATATTTCACAATTTTTAACCAACTTATTTCCACCTCCTATATATCACTCCGAAAATGATAAAATCACTCGTAAAATGGTGAGATTTTTAAAGAAATTCACAAGGATTTGAATGACATGTTTGGAGTTTAAGGATAATCAAATACCATGTGTTTCTTGTAGTAGTATTACTCTTGTGATTGTTTTTGACGATTTGCGCAATTTGTCTTTCATTTCATTAACATGGGAGGATTTGAAAATATGTTCATTGATATGTGTTAGACAAACTATTGTCCTGCATATCTGAAAAATTTTGTTCTTTAAGAAAATATGAAGCATGTTTGATATTATTTCTGAGGCGCTCATAACCCGAAACAAACTGTAACCCGACCCAAAACCGAATGGGTTGGGTCAAAATTTGACCCGAAATCAACCAACCCAACATGACTCGACCCGTAACCGGAGGCCCAACCCGAATTTACCCAACTCAACCCGATTGCCAGGCCTATTGTCAATCAATAATCCTAATTTATATCCATATGCAAAATCAAGACAAGGCACTAATATTATAAATAACAGTTTATGGGAGATGGCAATCAGGCTTAATAATAAAAGAATTGAAACGTTGGTGGGTCAAATTGATGGGGAATTTTTCCTCATTAGATTTTCATTTTGGTAAGGACAAATTGTAGAGGGAAAGCAAAATGAGAAGAATGAAAAGTGGTGAGTGAAACATTGGAAAAGTGAAAAGTTGGGATGAAGATATCAAAATGAGAGAGGACTTTTTGTTTAACAAAAGTTGAAAACACCAATATTTCCCACTTTTTTCTCTTTCTATAAACCAAAACACCAAAACTCCTCCTTATTTCTTTTCTCGAAATTTTAAGCACCAAATTTTTCTATTCTTTTTTCCGCAAAAAGTTGAAAATATTTAAAATCCCCACTTCTTTCTCTTCCTATAAACCAAAGCATCAAGACCCCTTCTTATTTTATCCTCTCCTTTCTTTTAATAAAAATACATAATTCAACTCAATATCATTTTTAGAACTTTCGTTTATAAAATGAAAAAATAGTTTTACTTAGTCTTACAAAAAAAATTAGGTACAAAAATGTAATATATAAAAAGTATAGGTACTAAATCATAATTTGTCATTTGGATCCATTGATCAATCCATCAATCCAATTGGATTTAATCAAATGGATCGGATTAGGTGGATATTTTAGTGAATGGATCGGAATGGATTCATGAATATGGATCCTAATTGCCACGTCTAGTTTTGATATGATGCTTTTCACTTTTATGGTTTTGCTTTGATTTCAAATAGCATGATATAGGGTTCGTTTGTTTAGTTGCATCTTGTATTTGAAAGATAACATTATTTGTTTAGTTGAAGGTTTATCATGGATTTAGTTCATTTGGTATTTGGGTCTCAAAAATTTGCTTTTTATAATGTGGTATTTGCAAAAACCAAATAAAAATGTGGTATTTGCAAATACGTGGGCTCCACGGATTTTGAGCTAAAAAAAATTCCAAATCCATATATGGGCCCCACGGATTTGTATACCTCAACAAATAATATCTTTTTAATCAAATACATAATGCTTGGTATTTGGGTGCCACATACAACACCCAAATCCCACAAGCAAACAACCTCATATTATATACTACAATCAGGGGTGGACCCAGGGGCCTAGATTTTGGGAAAGTGATTATCCAACCTCCGGTGGCAATTTACGTATGGACGAAAAAATTATAATTAATAGTTCGGGACACCCCGAAATTTGAAAAAACGATTATCCTACTCTCGTTTGTAGTTTGTATAAGTAAGTATAAGTGGTATTTTTGGTAATTCAAACCCGAGACACTACTATTATTAATAAATATAATTTTCATAGAGCTAAACTTTTTTGTTGTTTTATTCTAAACACTTTGTAATAGCAAAATCATATTCTCTAACTTTAATTATTTTCAAAACATAACAATTAATCTAATTACAAGCTACCCTTAATTTGTATTGATTTTATGGTTGCATGACAAGTAAGTGTCTTTTTAGCTTTGAGTTACATCAAGAACAAATTTATAAGTCAAATATGCGTCAGTTCGAGTAGGATATACCTAGACAAATTTATTGAGCAGTGTAGACACCAATGTATTTTACAATTTTTTTCAGAATATAAAAATACGTACTTTTTAACTTCTAAGTGTTGGTATTTCTTTTTTTAATAATTAATAATTATTTTAATTTTAATTTTAAATTTTTTAAAGAGGACACTAAAATTCTAGGGTCCGGAATACAATAACTTGCAGTTTATTTAGAAAACGGATCAGGTCAGTAATCTTATGGTGAGTAACTATGAGTAACCCGCCCACATCAGCATAACATCAGCATCCTCTCTCTCCTGGAAAGCCTTTAATTTTCCCTTCCTTAATCTTTGACGGACGATTTCTCACTCGTTTTAAGTCGAAATTTAATTTTTTTTTTGCACAGTTAGATCAGATTAATTGTGCTCTTCAAAATGATATCCACTTTGATATATTTTTCGAACAAAAAAAATTGAGCCATTTTTTACCAGTCTATACCATATGGTATTGACTGGTATTGAAATAAGAGCATACCTATGGTTTGAAAAGCGTACAATGGTGGTATGACACAAACCAAAACTGTAGGATGGTTGAATACATGATAGTAGAAGTATATTAATTGTCATTTACGACTTTTAACATTGTATACCATAAGATACCACCCCGTACCAGAGTGGTATTGTATAGTATTGTGTGGTATTTTTTGGTCTTGTAATTTGTTCGCCCAGAAATTTGTAGATCCAATAGACCATGATGAACTCGTCCCTGCTGTGCAAACGTTTTAAAAAATGAATTAAAAACGAAGAAGATACCATATGGTATGCAGTTGGTACTGAGAGGCCAGAATTTTTTTTTCCTCAAAAAATATTGAAAATTGATCTCATTTTGTAGAGCACGATGAACTCGTTCCATCTGTTTAAAAAAAAAAAAATTAAAATCCGAGTTAAAACGAAAAATATATGAGTCAATTAAGAAAGCTAGTGAAAATAAAAATGACCTTTAATTCTCCATCCTTAGATCTGGATTTTCTAAATGAAATGTCCAGATTTGGTTATTAATGGGTTATGCACCCTAACTTGAGCCGTTTATTTAACTCTTAGTAAAATATAATACATTGTTTAAGAATTAGACATTACTTATTTCCATATAAGCCATTAAGCCCTTGATTGCCAGCTTTAATTGGTAATTACTGCCCATACTTAGCCTTGTAATCCCTCCAAAGCTGATCGACGCTCTTCCCAGTCAAATCCTGGAAGAAGCCATTCCCATAGCCATCTCTCATCTTCTTGTTCAGCTCCGCCACGAATCCTCCCCTCACTCCCTCGCAGTACTCCAGAAACCTGGCCGTAACGTCGTACCCTTGGTCCCACCTGTCCCCTTTCCCGGGCCCCACCCAGTGACTCGGCGCGTACCCTGCCTTCAGCCTCACGTAATCGGCCATCCCTTCTACCAGCCCGCCGGGAGCCTGCCCCTTCCCGCTCCACTGCCACACGTGCGTCATCTCGTGGTAAATCACGCCCGTGAACTCTGCCTTCACGTTGCCCGAGTATCCGCCGATGTACCTGCCGCTGACGTGGATCTCGTTGTTGCTGGCGTACGCCACGCCGTCCATGTCGTCGATGAACACGCCGACTCTCTGGACGGGCTTTCTGTCGGCTTCGTTCGGCTGCTGGAATGTCCTCCATATGAAGTTCGAGGAGGTGGGCAGGATTTGGCGGGTGTAGTCGGCGCCGATCTCGTTGTTGAACCGGGCGCCGCCGGGGGTGGTGGCGGCCGTGTTGGTGACCGTGTAGTCGACGGCATCGGCGGCGGTCAGGAGAACCGCCAGTAAAGTGATCGTGACCTGGAAAAGGTATCGTGTCGACATGGTTGGAAGCTAGCGGGCGGAAGGAAGGAAGGAAGGAAGGAAGGAAGTTGTATATGAGAAAGATGTGGAGTGGGTATGTTTGGTTAGGTTGCTCACGGTTTATATAGAGTACGTATGGGAAAGGAAAAGCGAGCGGGTAAAGAAATTCTCATTAAGAAGGACGAAAATAAATCCCTTTTTTTTTTCAGCTTGAAGTAGTCCTAGCTGATTGACCTAGTCGATGGTCGAGTCCATTTGTTACATTTTGAGAGCTATCCGAGTTTCTCAATGTCATATTGCCCATTAATCTAGCTCAATGAGTGACTTGAATTATATGGAAATTTGTTGGGTTAAGTATCAGAGCCGGTACGTGGTTAGGCTGAAAACTCAACATATTACCCTTTATGGTGTGGACGTCATGAAACCATAAATGGTCGATGGACAATTTAACACCGAAATAGTTAATTATTTGCTTGAGGAAACTCGAAGATAATTTGTCATGTCAAGTGCAGTTGGGATAGGTAGCTGCTACAATAAAAGCTGGTCCGCATTGACTTTGACCTGGCCGCTGCCGTGCTGAACCAATAATCTATAGACACTGAGGCCCAATGATGCAGTCGCGCAATAACTTTGAACTGATTCGGTTTGAATAATGTTTTTTCGTGCGAATTAGATGGTAGTTTGAATTTTACCGAGTCTGTGAACGGAAGGTTTGATGGACAATAAGAGAAAAACGGTTAAAGTATTTCGGTGTATGATACAAGGGATAGGATACTGTGCTAACCCCTTAAAGGGTCTGTTTTTTGACACCCTCCTCTTGATTGGTCACTTTTCCATTTAATCATTTTGTAAGTTGTATTAATGAAAGTTGCTTTTTATTTTATTTATTCTAATCTTGTAAATTGAGAAAGCCTTAATTGTGATAATAATTATGAATGGGCAAGGAGAAAAACTTTGGAGGAGGAAAGTGCCTTTTAAGCTCCTATATTCCCCATATTCCCTCCCGAAAAAATAGCAACCCATCCATCTCCTCTGCAGAATTTGACGGTAGCCCTCTTCTCTGCAGAACTCGATGACGGCCGGAAACCATCGAGTTGCTCGCCGACGGCGGGATCGCCTTCGACCTGCCTGGTGGGTTGCTCTTCGCCGAAGGACGAGACACAGGGGATGAAGAATAAAATGAGGGCGGCGGCGGAGATGAAGAAGAAGGGGTTTCTCGTCGGTGGAGAACCCGTCGGAGATAAAGAAGAACATGAAGGGCGGCGACAGAGATGAAGAAGAATGTGAAGAAGAACACCTGGGGGGTTTCTCGTCGGCGGAGAACCCGCCGGAGATGAAGAAGAACATGAAGGGCTACGACGGGTCATTTAATTTCTTACCGCTCCCTGTCGTGAAGTGCAACCCTACAACGTCTGGGAGACGGCGACACTCCCATGAGCATGTTCCACTGATCTGGTACAACTACCACTGATCTGGTATATGTATCACTGATCTGGTACAAGTACCAGTGCAACTATTCAAGCCATACTTTCCACACCAAAATGTGACCATCCACTTGTAGTGTTAGATATATTGCACTTGTACAAAATCGAAACTCATCTTAAATGTTCCCATTTCAGTGTTAGATAGACTTTGAAGTGGTACCATTGAAATGATACATGTATCACTGAACAGATACACGTACCACTGAACAAATATATGTACAACAAATTCGATACGTAAACAAACCAACAATTTCTCATTAGTATCACCACTAATCGTGGAGTAGAATGTGTTATAAAAAAGAAAAATGCCAACAATAATAAAATATCCAGCCAATGCAACAAATAAACATGAAGTCACTATGAAATTGTTTGTGGGAAGTCTAAACCAAGGGAAATCAAGTATAGCCTTTCTATCCTCTGAACCGCACGTCGTTTTTTGTCGCTCCCTGTCTTGAAGTCCAACCCTATAGCGTCTGGCAAACGACAACAATGCAGTGAACATGTACCACTGATCTGGTACATATACCAATGAATTGATACATGTATGAAGTGGTAACCTGATACAAGTAACCGTGCAACTATTCCAGTCATACTTTTCACACCAAAATATGACCACCCACTTGCAGTGTTAGATATAATGTACTCGTATCATTAGCAAAATCGAAACTCCTCCTAAATGTTCTCATTGTAGTGTTAGATATACTTTGGAGTGGTACCATTGAAATGGTACATGTATCACTGAACTGATAGATATACCAGTGAACTTACGCACATATCATTGCACTGATACATGAGCCACTTAACATATACGTTTACTACTGAAAGTATATATGTACAACCAATCTGATACGTAAACAAACAAGCAACTTTCCATTTGTATCACCACTAACCGTGGAGAAGAATGTGTTCTAAAAAAGGGGAAATTGAAATAAAAAATTATATCCAACCAATGTAATAAACAAAAATGAAGTCACTAGGATATTGTTTGTGCGAAGCCTAAATAAAGAAAAATCAAGTGTCGAAGGATGACTGGGTCACTTGGGTAATGCAATGGAAAAACATAATTTGAATTATAGAGTTGGGGCTGCACTTCTTGCCGCTAAGATAATCAGTATGTTTCCTCTTCCCCCTAACTTGTTGTCCATTATTCTGGATTTCACGAAATCGCTTCTTGCTGGTACCCGCACTCGAGAAATGATCCTGACCTAACCCATTTTCTTCATTACAAAAACACATTGCTTCCATGCCTCTTCCATCAAGGCACTCAAGGATACGGTCTCTTCATCCTGGCCAGTTCTGGAGACAATAATTAGCACTATCAATGCAATGATAGAAATACGAATCGATAAGTAAGACAACTATCACTACAGTGGTAGAATTAGCAGCACATTTTTGCACCTGCTGACTCCCTCCGAGCACCTGCAAGAAGTACCACTGCACTGGTAAAGCATATCACTTCACAGGTAGAAATACCACTAGACTGGTAAGACACATCACTTCATTGGTACAAATCTCACTTGAATAAAAAGTTTAACATTGATAACATTCAACAAAAACTCAAACACTACAATTATCATTGCAGTTGTAACATTACCAAGTGTTGTCAAAACCAAACCGGACATCATTTCGGATTATCGAGAGGTTCAAAGTTTATCGGATAATCGATAACAAACCGGTATTAACAATCGTTCATAAACCGGCAATGGCCTACTTGGTGAACCAAGCGTGCAAAGTGCAAAATGATTATTGTCTATTGTTTTATTTTGGTAAAGATAATATCCCGACTCTAAAGAATAATAGAAAGGGAATTAATATGTCAAAATTGAAAATGGAGAAAATAGGCATCTGCTAGGTTACCGTAGATGAATTTGAACTTATTTTGAGGTAGCTTTTCCTATTTGACGTTGGCTTCTTTTCTATATTTTTGAATTTTTAATTAGAAGAACGCTAAAAATTAGGCGACATTTGCTTTTCAGAAGCCGCAGTGAAAAAATGGAGCGCTCAGTGCGCTGTGACCGAATTTAGCGGTCGTTTGGAGAATATAAGTTTAAATCTACAGATTGTAAACAATCTAAAGATTTTAACTCTTCGGATTGTTGAAAACATATTTAAAAATGTTTATTGTTTGGTAATTGTGATTGTTAACATTCAATTAAAATAAAAAAATTATTTTATATTAAATAACATGTTTATCCTTAATAAAAAAATTAGGGCGGTTTGAGAAATATTAAAAACTTTGTTGATAAATATATTTCATGTGATAAATAAATAAAAGTAAGAGAAAAACTAGGAAAAAAATCTTACGAATCAAGATATAGAATCTCTCTGATTATCCCTATGTTTGGCCCGGCTTTTAGAAGTGCTTTTCAAGTTCAAAAGCTGAAGCAGGGCCAAACACCTGTAAAAGCTCGGCTTTTGAAAAGCCGAAAAGCGCTTTTGTATAACATAAAAGCAGAAGCTCCGATTTGGAGCTTCTGCGAAAAGCTGTTTTGAAAATACAAGATTATCCTTACCATATTTTAATTTTATTTCAGAAAATATAATTTTCCTTCATTTATATCATTTTAATTATAAAATCATATTATTTAATATAAAAGAAATCTAACAAGATCCATTTTGACTACTTTTTATTGTTTAGAATTTTTATTCATATTTTATATTATAAGTCCTTTATAGTCATTTTACACATCCTCTTATATTAAAAAGCACTTCTAATAGTTTTACAGCCAAACACTCAACTGCTTTTTTTTAAAAAAGTACTTATCTAAAAGCTCCATCCAGAAGCTGCTTCTGCAAAAGCTACAGCAGGGCCAAACTAAGCTTATGAGAGATTTGATATCCACAGATTTTAGAGATTTGAAATCTCTAAAGTTAAAATCCACAATATAAAAAGCAACAAAAAAACATAACTTTCTACAAAATCTATGGATTCAGTGAATCCATGTCCTGAATCATGTTCTCCAAACGACCCCATAGGCTTCCGTGACCGTATTGGTACCCAAGTCTGGGTTTTCCCGGTCTTGGTTTAATAACACTGACATTACCACACAAAAAAAACAGATCTTAGTGGGTATGAGAGAGAAAAACTAGACTGATAAGGAATAGTTAAAAATCACAAATCTAGAAAAATCCAGGATAATGATAAACTATCAGTACACTGGTACCAATACCAGTACGCACATATGAGTATAATCGTAAACTACCAGTTCACTGGTATCAATACCAGTTCGACACCAAAACCCAGATCGGGGTATGGGATAGAGAGCTACCTGAGATTCTTCGTCGTCGTCGTCGCCGGGAAGGGGAGGATGGCCAGTGTAGGAAGGGGAGACAGGTCGTCATCTTTGCCGGGAAGGTGAGGAGGGCCATCTTCTTCTCCGTCGATCCCTTCACGGTGCCAAGCTTGTGGAAGGAGATGGAGAGTTACGACAAGCTTGGCGTTGCTCGGAGAACAGCGGCAGTCACCATCTAAGACATAGCCCACGATGGAGGATGTGGGATGGAGCCAGAGGGAGATGTGGACTGTGGCGGTGAAGAGGCGAAGACGGCGCAGGGGAAGAGGGAATCGAGCAAGAGAGGAGGAAACGAAAGGGAGAAGAAAAGGGTTTCAAATTGGGGGTGAGAATCGTTTTTCCCTAAATTGTTTTTCTTTTTCAATGTGGTGAGAGAAATTAATTATGTAATTAATGTAAAAAAAACAGGTAATTAATCCTTACCATTGGATTAGATGGATGATATTTAGGGGGTGTAAAAAATCAAACCCCTTAAGAGGGTAGTCACGCTAACCGCTCCCTACAAGCAAAGAAAGTGGATGGCTAGCAAACTAATTAAGCCATTGCTAAAGATTAATTAATTAATTACGACGATGTGGTAAAACTGCGGAGTTTTACCACCATTCAATTAAAACGTTGATTTCTCAAGTATTGGATGTAAATGCGGATAGACAGATTAAGGATTGTAAATTTCATATTTTTAAGTAGGGTTGGGCATGCGGGCGGATCATCCGCGGGTTTGGGCCGAATCACCCGCATTTGACCCGAATTTTGTTAAGTGGATGGGTCTGTGGGTGGGTGACGGGTTGCGCTGGGAGCCATCCGCCGGGTGGTGGGTGGATTGTGGGTGAGTGTGCGGGTGACCCGCTCAACCCAACAGCAAAAAGATCAAAGTCGTTGGCGCTAGAGAGAGGAGAGTGGAGACGTTAGATATAAATTCGGACTACTCCTGGAGTTTGAACCTCAAAGCCAACCTTCCAAATAGAGATCCCCTCTTCTTCCCTTTACTTTTTCCTCTAATTCTTGTGCCTAGATCACCGCTCTTTCCTTTGTGGAATTATTTTCCTTAGTTCCTTGCACCTAATAATCGTCTCAATCTGTAGAAAACTCTTTCATAATAGAATTTCTATCCAATTTAAGAACTAATTCGACATTTTTCGTCCTATTTCAACTTCTTGTTTCCCTCGATGATTCTCTTCACCTATTATCATGTCAAGTTGACTCCTTTATATTATATACATTGTGATGTGGGTGAACCCACAAACCCACCCGCATCATCCACCATCCGCCCGACCCAACCCGAGACTAAATGTGGGTGGGTGGTGGGTTAAAAATTATCAATCCGTTTAAGCGCGGGTGGGTGCATTTTATGGTCAAAATCCACCCGACCCACCCAATGCCCACCCCTATTTTTAAGTATGCTTTTTTCGACCAGGTGAAAATGAGTATCTACCCTCTCCAACTCCAAAGATATACCATTATAGAAGGAGGTAGAGGAATTGGACATTGTCACCGAACATGGTTTTTTGGGAGGAGGAGGAGAAATATTTTCAAACTTGTCTATATTAATGATCAAACTAACCACCTTGAGCTGGTATAGGAGTTTTCTGCCACCATACTACAACTCATTTTTAAATATAAAATTAATTTATTAAACTATAAACAAAATCTCCCGTTTGAATAAATTCCTAATCAATCGAGATCTCTTTTATCCTTAGGTCTATTCGATTTTTTCCAACAACTGTCACTGAGAAAGCAACACAATGACAATTGTTTAGTGGCATACATTGAAAGAGACTTATTATACTTGAGAGTGTGGACAACGAATATAGGACACCTGTAATTTAAAATCCTAGCTTAGCCACTGACCATGAGAAATTGGTATTCATCTTTGTAAACTATGACATATTAAGGATTATAGGTATAATATGCCCTTCTAATATACAGTTTTATCAAACATGTCATTCTACTATTTTTTACATCAAACATGCCCCTATACTTTAAAAAAATTATCAAACATGCCTTATGTTAAAATTTCCATTAAAAATGGTCAACCACGGGTGAACTGAGATTCACACGACCCGACATAGGAAAAATTAGAGGTGAAATATCAGTTTTTCCTCCTCATTTATTTCTCTGGGTCTCGTTTAAGTGAAATTATTAAAGATATTTGGCTATACAAAGAAACAAAACAATTCTAAAGCCAAATTATTAGGAATATTTTAGACATAGGTGTCGCCCAAACCAAGGTTCGGCTATGGTTGATGGTTTTGGATGTAAATTTTAATAGAAGAGTATGTTTGATCATTTTACAAAGTATAGGGTCATGTTTGATGTAAAAAATAGTAGAGGGCATGTTTGATAACAATTTTAAGAAACTATTTAAAGTAACATGTTTGATGTAAAAAATAGTTAAGGAGCATATTATACATATTTAAGTAACTAATATTGTATTTGAAGCTTATTTAAGTAACTAATATTATATTTCAAGTACTATTTGATGACACTTAATTTATATTGTTTATCACTGCAATATTTTATACATGTTCCCTTTCTATCAATGCATCTTTAACACATTCTCATCTATTTCATATCTAAATTATAACTATTTGATCAATGAGCATTTGATTGACTTGGTTATGTTTTGGTCAGCGACGGATCTAGCTAAGGGGGGTCGCCCCCGGGCCGTGGCCCTGCCCTCCCCTAGATCTAGAGCTAGAATAGCCATTGTAAATTTCCGATTTTAGGTATTCGTTTATGTTATCTTCGGGTTACGGCCCAGTCCTCTATGCCTCTTTTCAAATGTAGCACAGTGCTCTACCCTGTTCTGGATCCGCCGCTGGTTTTGGTACTCTTTTAGTTTTATGCCTTCTTAGTATGTTATTATGCTTTTCAATGTAAAATACAACCTAGGAGGATTTGGATCAAGCATTGAATGACCATGGCGAACTAGAGGATCTAAAAGGAGAAGAATATGGAGTTTTCATGTAAAAAATGAGGTCCAATGATGGATGAACCTACTAGTAGCCACGAGTAAAGCCCAACAGGAGATTAATAGAAGAAGACTCGGACCAAACCAAATATGAACCAGTGGCGGCTAATGTTGGGTACAACCGTTGCCCAAGCAGACTTGGTCAAATTACAGAGAAATTTCATCGAAGATTGCTTATGGACCAGGGAGTCCAGCCCACGAAAAAATGTAATGGTGGTTCCAGCTACCACTCATGGGCCCAAGCCCAATTGATGTCTAGAAGGCCTTGCTTCGACGTCAAGTTAGAAGGACCTTATCCTAGTCGAGTTATAAAGGTTTTTGACCGAATTCCTTTGGTCCTCCAAAGTTCTTCAATGCTTTATCCAAATTCCTTAGATTTCTTTGTACCTTCAAGACCATAAAAAACATACCAAGGAGGCATCAAAAGAATACAAGAACATTACCTAGGTCTATTAAAGGCTGATTGTTCAAATAGTTGTGATTTAGATATTAAATACCATTGAAATAATCTGAGATACTTTGATATAAGGGAAAATGTTTCATGAATGAGAGTGACAAACACTATAAATAAAGTCTCATCTCGGAGCACTCCTCACTAAACATGACCGTAGAGATGTCACTCATCTTCTTCTTCTTCGTAAGGATGTCCTTGAGGAACTTTGCATGCTTAGGCATCTGGATCATAGCCTCCAAGAATGGAACATTGATGTGCAGTTGTTTGAGCATGCACATGAATTTCCCAAACTTCGCCTTCAGGCGTTCTTTATTCATCATGGTGGAAAAAGGCATTAGAGGCTTGTATCCAGCCACTGTTGTAAGGGCGTCAGTGTCCTTAGAGCTGGGGTAGTAAAGGCCTCAGTGTGGTTCACCAATCACCAGTTCAGCCTCCAAATTCTTCATAAACACTCGATGCTCTCTCATCACTGCTTCAAGGGAAGAAAACTTCTCTGCATCTCTACCATGAACTTGTCAATATCCCCAAATTGCTAAATGTGGGTGCTAGTAAACTTAGACACCAAGTCCTCAACTTTGGTTAGCCTTTCATGATTAGGGTCAGACTGGGATGGGATCCATTGAGAAGCGGGTAAAAAGTTTGGCTGCTGGAGCTACTGCTACTGGAAGGGGATTTCTCTTGGAAACTTGAAGGGGCTTGAAGTCTAGGTGGCTTCAGAATTTTTGGTGTAGACTAAGCAAAGTTGGCATGATTTTGCCTACATGAATTGTAGTTGTTGCCATGTTGGTTTCCGGATCGAGCATTGGTAATGAAGTCCACTCGCTCCTGAGGGGTGGTGGCCTCCAACATGGCCTGGCAAGCCTCCAGTACATGGTTAGTGCTCCCACACCAATCACAAGGTAGTGCTTGAGAGATTGACCATATCAAAGATGTAGTATCCTTCTTGATCAACCTCTGAGGATGCTCTCGACTATAGCCTCGAGGGAAGTATGTGGGTCCACCTGTAAAAATCCTCTGCTCCAATTGTCTTTGAAGCCCTTCTAGGGATTCCAGAATCATGGCCTTGAGCATCCATCTCCTCAAAAAACTAAGTCATTTGAGATGGGATCTTGTTTAACATTCCTCCCTAGCAGATGGAGTCTATGATCTGGCGATCTTTCTGGAAGAGCACGTTGTAAAAGGTACCCACCTTGAAATTAACATCAAATGCTTTGTGTGGGCACTTCAAAAACATACTATAATATCTCCGCCATGCATCTCAGAGGGTCTCATCCATAGTTATGCTTTATTCATTATATAAATTACGCATTAATGCATTATTGGAATATTTTTTCCACCTAAGGATAATGTTCTTCTAAACGAATACAATATTGTGATTTTTTACCGGAGCACATGAAGGAGTCAGATGCTTCTTTTCTTCTTCATTGGCCAATCTGTTACATTTGTTAACTCGGTTAACCAATTAACCAAACTGATCAACCTTTAGTTTGGTTAAGTTGATTATATTGTTGTATTAGTTTGGTTAGTTTGATTTAATTTTGATATTCTGTTCCATGGTTAATAGAATTTAGCGTTAATTGGTTTGGTAATTACCATGGTAACCATTTAAATACCCCTAGATGATGGAGTACATGAGTGCAGTCATCTGGCACATGCCTTTGTGGTGTCTGGTAGCTGGGAGAGAGGTGTTGCTCTAGAAATACTATGTCATCTCTATGCGAAATATTGTAGCCTGGGCAATGTGAGCCTTGGCTAGGGGAGCCTCCGACACCATTAGGGCGGCCGATGGTGCAACTTTCTTCGAAGACCCCCTCGCGCTTATGAGTGCAATCATC